GTTCTAAGTATTTTTTTAAATATAATAAAATATTTTTTCATATTTTTTTGACATAACAAATTAAAATTATAAAAACATTAAAAAGTTATTAATTTGATATTTTTTAAAGCTGAACACATAAAAATATTTTTTTTTAAATAATCTTAAAGTTTGTTTGCAATGAGGTTATAATTATTTTTTAAATAATTTTTTGTATTAAAATAAAAATTAATAATATTTTTTATTTAAAAAAAATTATTTTTAACATCATCACATCAAAATAATTTAAAATCATTAAATACATATATATTGAATGACATACTCAAATTATATATATATAAAATTTGAACTAATATTTTCTATCCGTCTAATAATAATAATAATAATAACAACTACTGTAGCTTAACTTGAAATAGTATTTTTCTTAATCTCTGAGGAGGTCTCCATTATAACCTTTTCTCTACGGGGTTATGAAAAAAACTAAAACTTGAATTTAATGTGGTAATTTTTTAATTTTGTTTACCCACATGAATATATAATTAATGACCTCGTGCAACGCGCTAGGTGAAAAAAGAAAAGAAAATGTTATTAAATCTATGCAGATATTACGACGTCGTTTGTAGGAAGGACGAGTAAATGCAGTATGTAACGTGTCTGTCTATACCCTCTAATAAAAAACCCAAGCATAAAAAGCGCCACTGAGCTGGGGGGAGAGAGAGAGAGAGAGGCAGAGAGGGAGGTTGTGCTGTGTGAAAAAACTGATGCATCATCTACTGTCTATTCCATCTGCTTTCACTTTTCACTTTCTCTCTCTCAGAGACTTCATATACTAACACAGAGGAAAAGGTTAACAACAACAACAAGAAGAAGCCTCTTCTTCCTTCCCTCTCTCTCTATCTCTCTCCTTTTCTTCTCAGGTCCTCTTCTTTACTCTTCTCTTTCTCATTTTCTGTCTTTCTTTCTTTTTAACTCTTATCTGTTTTTTTTTTTAAAAAAAACTTATCTCTTAACATTAATCGAGAAACTGCTTTGAATTTTGATCAATGTGATTACCAATTTTTAACTCTGTTTTCTTTACACACTCTCTCTCTGTTTTGTAGTTTTCTTTATTTTAGCTCTGTTTTATTTTCTTTATTATGTTAGTTAACATTCTTGTTGTTTTATAGATATTTCTCCAGAGTTTCGGGTTGAAATGTGGAGCTATTTTGCTAAATGAGGTACGGTACCGTTCAAAAGAATGTTGCAGAATCTCTCTATTCTCTGTTTGGTTGCTGAGAAAAACCAAGGAAAAGACAAGTCTTTTAGTATTTTCATTTTATTTTGTTTAAGTTTTCTGGTTCATTTCTGTTGCTTTCGAGGTTTGAGAGTGTGAGGAAAAAAAAGATGGAAGTTGCCGGGTTTTAAGTTCTATACAGTTGAGTTATTTTAATTTTTTTTCTTTCCAAATTAAATCTGTAAAGTAAAAAAGTTTTCTCTTGTTTTCGCTCTATGTTTTTCAGTTTTCATTTGCTCATGCATTTTCTTTCTAACATAAAAAAAAAGGAACTCGGGAATTTTTTTTCCTGAATATTTTTGGCTGAAATTTGACAAATTTTTATTGATTTTTGTCTTCTAGTTTTGACTGCCGTTTCAATCTTTGTGAGTTTCACATCCTAAATTTGACAATTTAATTGATTATTTATTGGTTGATATTTTTTATTTTTCTGTCACTGAAATTAAATTATGAATTTTTTTGCAGGATTACTGAACTTTGCAAGCAGTGATAGGTTTTGAAGTTCTCCAAAGTTCTGTGTTTTCACCCTTTACCATAAAAAAATCAGAAGGTTTTAGCATGCGTTGATGGGTTTTATGGCAATAGTTTTCTGATGGGAATCTGATGGTGTTAATTCCTGCCGGCGTTGCAGCTTTGTTTTGTTAGAATTGGAGATAAATTAGCGGTTTCAAAATGAATGGAAACAGACAAATGGAGGTGCATTATATAAACACCGGCTTTCCTTACACCACCACTGAAAGTTTTATGGATTTCTTTGAAGGACTAACACATGCTCCTGTAAATTATGCTCACACTGGACCACTGCATGATCAGGTATTCATTACTTTTAATGCAGTTTTTATGTTTGAAAAGAAAAATAAAATCCACGAGATAAATTTTAAAAAATAACTCATTAGGTTGTTCTTGCTTTAGGCAATGTTTTAAATGAACAGAGATGTAGGCTGTTTCGATGATGTATGCACCTTTTTCCAAGATCATGATATAAGTGCATACTTCAATAATATTAATGAGGTGCTCTTGAAGTAATTGAGGAACTCACTTTACATGCTAATTGTTACGGCTCCACTTTCTATTTTGCACTATAGCGTGCGACTGCAGTCTGCACTGTTCATGAATCTATTCATGATTCCACTGCACGCCTATATACTTTGTTGAATGTTCTAAGCTAGCATTTTCTTTGTTTATTGTTTATGAAATGGCAGCTGCAGCTTCTTTTATGATTTATTTTTCCTTTCATATGTTCTATTCAGGACAGTGCATACTGGCCAATGAACATGAATGCATACAAATTTGGATTTTCTGGTCCTGGGAGTACTTCTTACTACAGCCCATACGAGGTAAATGATAATTTACCCATCATGGATGTCAGCAGGACAGCTTGGGAATATCCTTCTGTAGTGAACGCTGAAGAGCCTACAACCACAGACACTCAGTTTGAAGGAGATGAGGACATGGGAGTACATGCCATGCACGAAGAAAGAAGTTTGTTCCATTTTTGTATTTCATGTTAATTTATTTATGACTTTCAATAATTTGATGCCTTGTCTTTTATGTTGATCAAGGATCTTCAAATTTATAGTTATTGGCTAGTTGGAGTTAGAAAGCATCCTTTTTTAGTGGCACGGTAGATGTACAGCAATGCATTTTAGGTTCAAAACTAGAAGGGATCTGGGATGCATGTCTCTATCCCAGTTGTTGTTTGCCTGAAGCTGTTTCCTTCTGTTCAGTTTCTGTGAGCAGCTAGCTTTTGTTTGGATTCTTGTTTGTTTTACTGATCTTTTGAATGTTGTCTTACTTCTGCAGGTATTCCTAATCAGCCAAGCGCCAACAGTCCCCAGGCATGAATCACCTTTTGTTATAGTCTAGTCTTACGCATTTGAGTATATTTCTTAGTGCTAGTTTATCTTTATTACATAAGTTAAGCTCCAGTTTTTGGTATCGACTTCTCCATGTTCATTACTTAAAATTGTCCCGGGCATGAGCTTAAAAGGAAAGTTCACCTTAATCTAAATGGTAATTATTTATTTATCCAGTCAAAGTGCTACAGTAAGGTCATCATAGTTGATTTTGATATGGCAAATGAATATGTACTTAATAATCCCTTTTGGTCAGATATTTAAATGTGCCGATTGTCTTTCTATCATACATGCTTAAAATGTCTTATTGAGTGGTTGTTTTCAGCATCAGATCTCATGCAGTTTACTTACCGAATTGTAGTTGCCCACTACATTGTTATGTTGATGTAAAAAACTAATTAATCCTTCAGGTTTTTCCATGTAATTTTGCAGGCTGTTTGGCAAGATGATGTCGATCCAGATAACATGACATATGAGGTATGGTTTATGTAACTTGTCCTGTTAGATTGCTTGCGGTGTATTGCATTTGTGTACTAAACCAACCTTGGCCAGGCATTTGCAAATATCCGAGTGTGTGTATCCTCTTATGTTGAATGCTCCCAGGATATTATCTTTAATAACTTAAAGTTTAGATGAAGGTTTTCTATCGGCTATGGTTTCTTTGCCTCAGGAATTGCTCGACCTAGGTGATACTGTTGGAACGCAAAGTAAAGGTCTGTCTCCGGAACTAATCAGGTTGCTTCCAACCTCAAAATGCAAGTTCGGAAGCTTCTTCTCAAGAAAAAAATCTGGGGAAAGGTAAAATTTTTGCTAAACTCAATTATCCATTAAGAACTTTGATAACAGAAAGCATCAGAGGCAACTTAAAACCACGTAGCAAGTAATAATAAAATTATTAGACAGACACTGAACAAAGCAGCTATCAGATGCAGAATTCTTTGCCTTTCGGCTTTCCCCTTTCCCCCCTTAAGTTCATCACTTTTAAGCTGTTCACCATTTTCTTATTTTTCTTTTGTCGAGAGACAGATGTGTAATTTGCCAGATGAAATACAAAAGAGGGGATAAGCAGATAAAACTTTTGTGCAAACATGTTTACCATTCCGAATGTATCGCTAAATGGCTTGGCATCAATAAGGTCAGTCAACGTCTTCTTCAAAGCAAAAGTATTTTGAACTCTGCGTCCTCAGCTTTTCTTATTTTGTCTCATGCTGTTCTTAACGTGTTTTGTCAGGTATGCCCTGTTTGCAACAATGAGGTGCTCGGAGAGCATTCAAGGAACTAACAGATCCAGACAAAAAGAAATTCACTGCTCTCTCCTCTCCTCCCTTTTCTTTCTCTTTTTTATTTGGGTGGTTTGGTTTCCTTTTCTTTTTGTACACGTAGGTTTAGTCAAGGACTCCGGCAATTCCCTCATTCTCCGTGGAAGTTTTGTTTACTAAAGAAACCGCATCATCCGAGCTTCTATAGGAAGATAACTTGAATTTTAACTTGCGTCCTGTTGCTGAAGTTTGAATGTGTATATCTGTGATCTTTGCTCCTGTTTCTGCATTTGATGCTTATACTCACGCCCCTCTAATTTAAATCAATCCCCCAAGTTCTTTGGAATAGTGTTATGAATCTTCTGATGCCTCGAAACAGTCTCAATCCTTGAGATGTATCCCTTCAGCCCTTGTCTCTTCCTTTCATGTTGAAATTTTACGAGTAGCTGTATATGCAATCGAGTTCGTTATATATGGAGGATAATATCGTGCAGCTCCTTGGAGAAAAGCAAGGTGCATGGTACATAACAGGAGTAATTGTCTGCTGCATGCAAGTTTTGCCATGCCACCTTCTCTACTGCTTGATGAATGCGGTATATACATAAACAAGGATAGGACGTTGCTTTCCCATTCCTGTTTTATGAAGTTGACAAACCATTACTCCTGTCTTCAGTTTTGTCTTCTTCCCGTGCAGCATTATCATCTCGAACATGATCTGTTGGCATGGGCTTCATGCTCGCTCGAGGATTGGAAGACAATTCAAGGTCCTTGAATGGATAAGTCCACGTGACAAAATCGATTGTTTGTGGTCACCATTGAAGTTGTTTTTTCACGAGAAGCATCCACCGTCGGCACTTGGCAGTGTGCTGATACAACTCAATGTCTTTATGAAATCCTTATGGCATTGAGTTCTCTCGAATGGTGTTCCGGGGTATGGAAGTGGTGAACTGGTGATGAGATGGCATTTTTGCTCCTATGCTTTACATTTCCCTAGTTCGGTTTTGTGGATAATACTGAAGAAAAAAAGTTCTGGGTAGCAAGATGATCAAAATAGGTGGGTCCCGCCAATCAGCTATGCTAGATTTTTCAACATGTTTAACGTCACATTAACAGCTGATAAAAATAAAAGTTTGGGACTCGATTGTTACTGATACAATACTTAGGGGCTAAATTGAGATTTCCCTTGTAAATATTGTCGAATCCAACTCGAAGTTTCAGCACCGTCGATTTCCGGGACCCACAATCGAACGGTCCCCTTCCATTAAGCGCCTGGCTAGTAGACTAGAGTTCATTTATTTATTACTATGTATCCCCTCTAACGGTCACCAGCTAAAAACAAATAGCTCCGCCAACGTTCACACACTCTCTGTCTCCTTCTCTGGCTCTCTGCAGTAACGGTTACATTTCTTACACCCTCTCTCACATCTGTCTCACAGTTTTTGGGGTCTTTATTTCTCTCTCTACAAACCTTCTCTCTTCATCTGAAATCGTTTTGCTCCATTTCTGGGTCTTACCGTTTTCTCTGCAATGGAACCAGCAAAAATAGATTGGCAGAGAATAGACTCTGTCTTTGTCGAAGATAGATTGTATGAGAACATGAATGCACCCAAATGGTTTGATTTCTTTGCTCCTGAAGACTCCACTGATGATGAAGCCTGGTTTTGCAGACCTGGTATGAATCTATTTAAGTACTATTGACACCTTTTCTTTCTATTTTTTTCCTTACTCTCTCATCTTTTAATGTTTTGCTGTTGCAGATTGTAACCATCCAAAGACAGCTGATGATTTCTTTAAAACCACACCAAATTCTAAGGTTTTTTTCTTTGATCTCAAAGTCCACAACCCTTTTTTTCCCTTTATTTACCTAGATAAAGACTAGCCATTTTAGCTGATCCATGGTTGAAGTTAAATCTTGCATTTCTTTATGGATCTGAAACAATATAAAACACGCGTCTCGAATTTTCTTTTCTTTGCGTTTCCCTTGCTTTTCTCAGTTACCAAACACGGGTTAAATCCAGTACAATTATTTGACCGTTACTTGACTCTTTTTTTTTTGTTAAATTGATCTGGTTCAGCTTTCAAGCTCAGGTGATAAAGCTAGAAGTAGAACCCCTCTCGACGACAAGAATCTAAGGTACTCACAAAGCAAACCCACATCAAGTTTTAAATTTTCTATCCAATTGAAGATTTTGATTATTTTTTTTAATCAAGAAAGAGTTCAAGATTCGAGTTACTATCTTAAAAGTTCTCTTCTTTTTTATTTTCTATGGATTTAGAGATGCAAAATTGAAGAGAAGGGGGCAAAGTCAGTCTTCATTTACATCATGTGATTATAAAGCCAAATTCAATGAAGATAGCGAAAATCGGAATCCAAATTTATCAACACCATCAAATTACCAGAAGTCTATGAAACAAATGATCAAATCAAGCAGTGAAAAGAACAGACCTATTGATGATGTGCCACAAACCAGGGAAGAATCAAGGCTAAAAAGCACGTTATCGGCAAGGAATTTGTTTGCAGGGAAAGATATATTAGGCCATATTACTGAGTTTTGCAATGAATTGAAGAAGTTGGCAACGAGAGCGAGGGAAAAAGAGAGTTTAAATGAGAAGGAGAGTCAAGTGGGGGAGAAAAAAGATGGGGTAGTTGTGAATGAGGGTTCTAGAGAGGTTTTGGGAGAGTTGAATGTGAAGGAGAAAGAGAGAAAACCATTGCTTAACAATGATAGAGAGAAACCCGAAGGACATGAAAAGGGAAGCGCCAAGCAAGGCCGGAAGAAGTAAGTTATTTCCCTCTGTGCTTGTCTTTAAAATTTGTACATATGCAGTTAACTTGAACTGGGTAGAGGAGATAATAGTTTTGGAATTTTAAGGATTACGGATCTTTAAAAGAAGTTGATTTTGTCATTGCAACAGATTAAAGTTGGTTTGCTCTGATTTTCTCTCTTCATTGTATTTTTAGATTGGAGTCTTTACATGCTTGATGAAAACAATCTGCTAAAAAAAAAAAAAACAAATGTGGGAGTTGTGGCTGAAAAACGTCGTGCAAAGTTTATTTATTCTTATCGCTGTTGAATTGTGGATTCTTCCCAAGCTTAAAGATTTCGAATAAACATAAACAAATGGGCTCAAAGTCCAACTTAAAATCTGTGGTCTTAAACAAACTTAGACTTGGCAAATGTGAGCATAGGGCTATGAAAATATTCTAGCGTGCATATGCTATGAAAATATTTCAAGGGACTAAATTATAGTTGTTGAATTGCGCAGAAGAGTTAATGATACAGAGAACATCCCAGTGCCTCTGAATTTGGCAAATGTGAAGAACAAAGGAGAGGAGCGCCTGCTGCAAATTCGGACCAATCCTCCTTCACCTCAATGCTTTTCTGCCAACCGTGCACCCGCCAAAACTACCCCTTCGAAGGCTTCCAGGTCCAGGCTTACGGTATGCAACGCAACTAGGTTCCATTCTTAATATTGAACTTTTGGTTTAAGGCAAGTTAATGATGATAGTGACACACATGGTGAACTAAATAATTTAACTGCAGGTTTGAGTATTGGATGAGACATGATTGCTTCTTTCTTTCTTACCAGTCTTTCCTTAGGTGCACCAAGTAAAATGAGAGGAAATTTAAGGATAAACATCAGGCTAGAATTTGTTTAACAAAAACTTAAACTGAAAGTCATTAAATTCAATGAATATGCAATTTGAAACCAGTTAGTTAGGCATCTGAAGTGCATGTTTTCAAGAATTTTCGATATCAACTAACTTCCAAACAAACACATTGGATTATGCCAATTAACACTACATATGAACGTCTGCACCAATGGACAATAATTAAAATAGTTTAGCTCTCCGGTACGGATGATTCTTAGTTACTTTGAATGTTGACTAGCTAATCATCCCCTTAAGGATACCCATTCTTCACTTAACTAGCCAGAATCAGACCTCTATTTTTGGAGCTATCCCCACATCTTGCCGTTTTCTTCTCGGTAACATGACTTTCCTTAACCACGTTAAGAGTCATGCCATTCTTCACTTGAAGTTTTTTGCTAATTTGATAAGTGCTACATCCCCTTAAGGATACCCATTCTTCATTTAACTAGCCAGAATAAAACCTCTATTCTTGGAGCTATCCCCACATCTTGTGACGGTTTTCTTCTCAGTAACATGACTTTCCTTAACTACGTTAAGAGTCAACCCATTCTTCACTTGAAGTTTTTTTGTTAACTAATGTGATGGTGGTGAACTGTGCAGGAAAGGGGAATCCTTCAGGAACTGAAGAAGGATAAGGAAACCACCGAGGACAGAAGTACTCCTTTCATTTCTGTTGGAAAAGAATCGAGAGCTTTGGATGTTTTCTGGTTCCTGAAGCCCTGCACGACGCTCTCCAGCTGAAATGTGGAAACACCCCCCCACCGGACCCCGGTTTTCCAAAATTCATTCTTTAAAAGATTTTTTTAGTCCAGTTGAAACTGGTCATTGCATCTTGTTTCTTCTGGTATTCATACATCCACACCTCCCATTTTTTAATTCTTGCTCTTTAATTGATTACCTGATTCATTTGATGTCAATAAGAGAAACTGTAAGGAAGCAAATCCAAACTCATTATAGAAAATAAAATTTGTCTTTTTGAACTCGAAAGCTTGAGTGATGCAAATACACAACTGGCTCTTATTTGGGGTTGTTGCTCTCCCTAGCCTATGCTTATAATAAGATGACTTATTTGACATTTCATTATCCACTGAGAAAGAAAGAAAGGCATGCCAAGTTGATTGATGCTGGAAAAGGTGCATTTTTATATATGCAAACAAAGGATGACTTCAAATTGTTATACGGCTGAACCAAGTTTACAATCTTTTAGCCCCAGTCCTTATTGGGTTAAACTCGAGCACCGAATTTGCAGAAAACTTCACATTTTGGAATAGACGGGCACTGATTTTTTTATACCTTTTGAGGCAGCATTCATACGATTTCGTATGCAATTAGAGTTTCTGAAGCAAAAGATCAATTGGGAATCCCTTGTGTCATCTTAAACCACCTCTCTGTGAAAATCTTCGGTGCGAAGGTCTTCTCCGCTGGTATCCATCTTCCTTCTTGAACGTTATCTAAAGCATAGATATATAGCATTAAGGGTAGATGCCAAACTTTGCCATCCGATTTCAGAAGCATATTGCCGCGTTTTTTGTCCTAACAAAAAGGAGCCCCGGGGGCGTCAAGAGCGTCATCTCTTTGTTTTTTTTTTTGTTTTTGCTTCTGTTTTGGATGGATTAGGTTCCATACTAACCAGTAGTCATCCCCCCCTTATTTATCTTCATCCTAACTCCTATGGCGTATTCATTTGATTTTTTCTTCTTCATCTACCAAAATCTCATCGTTCTATTATCTCCCGTTCTCATCTTCCAGGGATAAATAAATAAAACAACTGTCCCATTACTATATTATTATAACAGAAAAGAAGGCACCTATCTATCTTTATCCCAATCCTCATTTTACAATCCTTTAGTTAATAATGTTCTGGCAAATGACCTTCCTTTCTCAGGGGAAATGAACCCAAAACAAACCCAGAATTCCGAATTTCGCTTCATCTTGATTGATCAACAAAGCAAACCCCATCACCAAACCCTAGTTTTTACATGGACAAGGAATTACACAAAGAACATCCTTTATTTTATTATATAACATCTTTGCAGTTCTCAAACATTTCTCTGTAATACATAATCCCGCACAAAGTTATAAACACGACCAGAGTAACAACAACGTATTGCAATCTAAATCAGTTCTGAGACAATAAAAATAAACCAGAGAGAGAGAGAGAACGTACATGAAGAACATCCTCTTCTAATCTAACCTAAAATTGCAAAGCAAAATATCCAAGACCCTAGACCACACGTGCCTTGCACGTGGATAGAGTCTGCCAGTGTAAACTCTCGACTCCCTCAACAGATCTTCCATGGTTTCCACAAAGAGATTCAAGCTCCTCACAGGTGGAATGTACAAAGTCAGAGGCACAGCAGAGAAAGCCACTGTAAAGAGAAGCTGCAACATCATGTAATTAAGCCAAACCCACCAGAGAAGTTATTTGTTAAAACCAAACTATAAAGGGTCCTTGGTTATCCATACAAGATATCTGGAGTTCCAAAGACAATCGGGAGAGAGTTTTTTGCCCCTTGTTTTTCTTGTAGATCTTGCGCGAGTTTTGAAGGGGAAAGGGTTTGGAAGCTGCAGGTTTTATAGATTTGGTAAAACTCTTTCTTACCAAGGAAAGAGAGATCAGACAGGCAGGAAGTTCCGGAACTCTGAAGAAGTTGAAGATTGATCTGTTCTCATTACTACAAGATAAGGACAAAAAAAACAAGAAACTTGAAGATTAAAGAGAAGACTACAAGGGTAATTACAGGACTAGTAGTGGGGTGTGGATGGCTGACTATTCACCAATTATTTTTTTAAAAAAATCATTAAATTTTTCTGGATGTGACTTTTCATAGTGTGAATTGTTACATATTTATTTGTAAAGTCATACTAAACGGAAAGGAAGAATCCGATACCTGGTATTAAAAATATTTTTTTATTTTCCATACTAATACATTAAAAATACTAAAAAATATTAATTTAATATCTTTTCAAATTAAAATACTCTGAAGTTATCATCCTTCCAAATATTTTGTAAAAAAAAGAATACTCTCATCGTCACTGCTGATGAGGAGTCATTTTGATGTGATGAGAGGCAGGTGAAAGTGTTCATTGATGTTATCATTTAGTTGGATTTTAATTAGGTGAATAAAAGGGGGAAACTTATGAATGAAGGGCATCCAATGAATCAAATGATTATCGATGATTTTTCTCATCATCACTGACTAATTAAGACGGGCCCAGCAAATTCTTTTTCATCGTAATTTAGCTAAAAATCACAAAATCGAAAATTAGATGTCACCCGTGAAGACCTGTATTTTAAGCGGGTATTATTTTGTTTGGTTTTATAATTTAGATGGTGACTTTGAGAGGTTAATTATGTTAATTTAATTTAATTTATTTATTTTATCATGAGTTTAGTATATTAATTTATAATATTTTTTATTTTATTTTTCAATATCAGTTAATTAAAAAATAAATTTTATAATTTATTTTAATTTATTTTATATAAAGTTATTATAATCTTATAATTTAGCTCGTAAAGTTGATACATTAATATGTATTTGTTCGGATTGATTAAATATATTATCGTCGGATTGATTAAATATTTTATTTAAATATCTTTATTTTTTATAAATAATTAATTATCTAATTTATTTTTAAACTTATCAAATTAATAAGGTTGATTTTCATATCTTTAGCTGCAATTTTTAACCAGAAAAAAAAAATTATCACTCCATGATGAAAATATTATCAGATTAACTGATGCAATAAACTCCATTTTTCCAATATATAGTAGGAATGTTATTTGATTATTGCCAGTGAGCTCCTTAATTCGTGCCAACATGATTGAAATGGAACAGAATTTCAAAAACAATTTTTTCTAACCAACCGCTCCTTATATACATACATACATACATACATATATATATACACACACATAAATAAAAGTATTGTTCAAAAAAGAAAAGGAAAAGACAGGTGCCAGCAATGATGTACGGTGGTAGACGATGCATCCGATTCGTGTGAACATTGGAAGGGGCATACGATGCTTCCATGTATGCCACACATTCCTTGTTCGAACGGCAGCCCTTCACCAAAATTCCATGCCATGTTACGCGTTTTATAGTGAATGGATTTTTACATTGACATTTATTTACCTAAATTATTTGGTTAGCTTTCCAATGTGTTTATCTCAGCATGAAAAAACAACAAATCAGTCTCTCACATTGCTTCCCTCAAATCAAACACAGGCCAAAGGACATTTTTAGCTATTATAGTGATTCGGACATTTTTAGCTATCATAGTGATTCCATAGCTAGCTGATGTACGCCGAAGGTCGGTATTAAAAAATATAGAGCCTCTTCCTTTTTAAATTAGATTTGAATTCTTATGATTTTTGCAAGTTAATTGGAGTTGTTTTTTTAATTTGGTACCTTAACAAAAGTCACATGCTTTTGGTTAGATTTAATAAAAAAATCAGAACTTCTAATTAATTAATTAATTTTAACTGATACGGAATTATTTTTTATGTATTAGGCTAGACTCGCATCAAACGGAAACTCAAATTACCAGGTGAGCCATCCCCGCCTTAAATTTTTTTTCTTGTTGTTTAGTTCGATTATCGTTTAGCGTGAAACCCAAATCCATATCAGTGGATAGTGGCCCAAGCTGATGCCAGGATCTTAGCCCAGAACACGAAACAACAACAAGAACGGGGAAAAACGGAGGCAAGCGAAATCAGGCATCATGACTCATGGCGACACCCTAGAAGTAGAACACACTTTCAAATCGACAACTGAAAATTAACAGGAGTCTTGTAATATCGAAGAGCCGCAGCTGAAGCTGTCGTTTCAGGAAGCTGGAATGGAGGCAGCTCCATTTACTTCTCCTTCTTCTACCAGCAAAACTCCATCCATCTCCTCGTCCTCTTCTCTTATATCTCTTTCAAAAATTTCTTATAGAAACCACTCTCCTTTGAAGTTCAAGTCACGTAGAAATCTCTCAGTTCGTGCTTCCAATGATGATTCAGGTCCCCTTCCTCTCCCCCTCGACTCTCTATGTAAACATCTATTAATGCCATCAATTACTGAAACTTCTTCTCTTTGTTTGTTTGTTGTTTTTTTTTTTATAATGGATTTTGCAGTAGTGACTCTGCTTGATTATGGTGCTGGAAATGTCCGTAGTGTCCGAAATGCCATTCGTCATCTCGGTTTCCAAATCAAAGATGTACTCTTTTTTTATTACGTACTTTAATTTAATTCTTCTTCTTCTTCTTCACGTTGTGTTTTTTTTGTTGTGGTCTATAGAAGTAATGTAATATAGTAGTTATGATTTTATTTTATCTGTTTTGGGAAAAAATGGAATAAAAATCAAACAGGTGCAAACTCCGAAAGACATTCTAAACGCAAGGCGTCTTATATTTCCTGGTGTCGGGGCTTTTGCACCTGCTATGGATGTCCTTAACGACAATGGGTCTGTCTTTTCTCTCTCTTTTCCAACGGTTGTTTTTGTTTTTGCAAATATCAAACAATTCTCTATTTCTTTGTTGTTTCAACATGTGCAGGATGGGAGAAGCACTATGTAGTTACATTCAGAATGATCGCCCCTTTTTAGGCATTTGTCTTGGACTTCAGCTACTTTTCGAGTCTAGCGACGAGAATGGTCCAGGTCAGCCTGTTATTTTTGTCTGTTGAATTAGCAGCTTTGACATTTTCTTTCTTTTCTTTGTAGGGTTGTTTAATTTGTAGTCTTACTGCATTTGTCTCAGTGGGTGGTCTTGGTATGATTCCCGGAGTGGTGGGCCGTTTTGATTCCTCACATGGTTTTAGAGTGCCTCATATTGGTTGGAATGCTTTGCAAATTACTAAAGATTCTGAAATTTTGGATGACATTGGAAACCGCCATGTGTATTTTGTTCACTCTTATCGTGCCATGCCAGTGCGTTTTTCTTCTTCTCATCTTATTATTGATCTTGTTGCATAATTTTGCCACGTGTATATTTGGTTTATGAGCTTTCCTTTGCAGTCAAATGAAAACAAAGAGTGGATTTCCTCTACCTGCAATTATGGTGATGAATTTATAGCATCTGTTAGAAGGGGAAATGTGCATGCTGTTCAATTCCATCCAGAGAAGAGTGGAGGCAAGCAGTAACCCTTATTTTTCTTTTTTCTTTAACATATGGTTTGTGAACGTGATTAAATTTCAGCTGCCTCCTATTAACAATCTTGAAGATTGCATTTTGCTGTCCATGTTTATTTGAGGGGGGAGCCTAAATTCTCCTTTGAGACTTTACCATTGGATTTGGATACTTTTTGCCCTGACAATCTTGAGTCTCTTGTATATGCGGTGGAGAGTGTATGAAAAATATATCTAAAATAATTTTAGCACGTGAATGTTAACAAGACTGCCTATTTAACACTGATTGATGTTATTTAAAATGATTGTCACAGATGTTGGTCTTTCAGTATTGAGGAGGTTTTTGCTTCCAAAGTCATCTTTGACAGGGGTAGACTCTGTACTCTGAATCAATGCATCTTCTATGCCTCTTAACCTCTTTATTGAATCATCTAATGAAACGAAACTTCATTTGAAGACAGAAGCGTACTGAAGGGAAGGCATCGAAACTTGCAAAGAGGGTAATAGTTGCTGACCTCAAGTTTTATTTAAGTGGTTTCAAAATTCCCTTACCCTTGCTACAATTTATGTTGTGCAACTACACTGAGTCTGAATGGCTTTAATGGTTTTTCATCCTTTGTATTTGGCATCTATTTGGATTTGAGTTTATGGATAATTTTAGATTTTAAAACAGTTATGTGATGATGCGATTTCTGTGGGATAGTACATTGTTTTGTAGCCATTTAAAGGATTATAGAGATTTATCTTAACTGATAATCAGAGGGACCGAAGCGTCCTCTTTTTGTTTTTCCTTTTCTTTTTCTTTTTAATTTCAGTTTTCTTCTCCTTTGGGGATGCTTTGTTCTCCTAGCTCTCTGAGTATATTCTTTCTATATAAATAAAAATGCTCAAAAATAAAGGAGGCATGATTGCATAGTAGAGGACAAGGCATCCTCTGGAAGCATGAATACACATGTAGAAGATCAAAGTAGAAGGGCCTTCCTGTCACTTTGTGCGTCAAATAAGGAAACTCGGATAAATGCACATGAACTCTTAAACTAATCATTTTTTATTCAGTTGTATCTGCATGTGCTCTTCATATACTCAGTGATATTGCTTCACTTCAGGTAATTGCTTGTCTTGATGTGAGGGCAAATGATGAAGGAGATCTTGTTGTAACCAAAGGAGACCAGTACGATGTAAGGGAACATGCAGAACAGAGTAAGGTATGATGAAGAATACCACTTGCATTATGTGGGATTGGCATGCGGCTAGAGACCACTGCATTCTGAGAGTGCTAGTGGAAAAAATTAGCATCGGCACTTTGTGAAACCCTGAAATGGGAAAAAGATATATAAATTTTAAGCAAACATACATCTTGCATTTTTCATTTATGTTGTTAAATGCTTTAGCTGTTTTGTCTGCGTTTCTTTCTTGGACATGCTTCAGAAGTTCATTTGATTCCAGTTAAATATCTTTTAAGGTGAATGTTTTAGTGCTGTGCTGATGGATTAATGTCTTCATCTGAAAAAAGAAGTTGATTCTATTTCCTTGAGAAAAAAAGGAAAGAAGCTGATTCTATTTCCTTATGAAAAAAAAGGAAAGGAGTTGATGATTCCAATGGAATGCACTCATTTGGTCCCAATCTTTTCCTAAATTGTTACCATTGGTGGAAATATGTATTTGCATCTCATTAATGGTTTTATTGGTGTTGATTTGCTTAGGTTAGAAACCTTGGCAAGCCAGTGGAGCTTGCTGGACAGTATTACAATGATGGTGCTGATGAGGTATGGTATTTTTACCCTTCTTAATTTGATCCATGTACTACCAAGGGAGCAGTACTGTGCTTAATGTGTTAATGTTGAATTTCAGGTTAGTTTTTTGAATATCACTGGCTTCCGTGATTTTCCCTTGGGTGATGTGCCAATGTTGCAGGTTGGTTTTGCAGCTATTTAATTACTTGCTAAAAATATTGTTGGTAACTTGTATACAGAAATCTCATTTAGCCATAATCTCATCTTTTTGCCATGCTCTTGAAGGTTTTGAGACGCGCTTCAGAAAATGTTTTTGTGCCATTGACAGTTGGAGGTGGAATTAGAGATTTTACTGATTTAAATGGCAGGTGAGATTTCAGTGTTATGTGGCAGATCAATCATATGGTTTAACATTTTTCAACTAGTATGCATGCAATATTTCCCCTAATTTCACCAATTTTAAAGTTTCCTTGTCATCTTCATGTGTCATTAATTGATAGTTAGGTGTGTGGGCATATTATCATTAAGCCATTCTCCCTTCAGGTATTATTCTAGCTTGGAAGTTGCATCAGAATATTTCAGGCCTGGGGCTGATAAGATTTCTGTTGGAAGTGATGCAGTCCATGCTGCAGAAGAATATCTGAAAACTAAGGTATGCAGTTGGTGTTAAATCGTCAACGAGAACAGTGATCAAGATAACTAATTCTCTGAGAAAAACTTAATTAACTTGATCAATAGTCAAAACAACAACTGAATGTCTAGGCAGGCATGTTTATAGGGGCACCCAACCGAATGAAATAACAAAAGGTGAAATCTAATAATAGTTGGAAAATTAAAGCCATAGAATAAGAAAACCTAATAAATAAGAAATAAACTAGATTAGCGATACTAGCACTCCTAAATAACATTAAAATCTAGAATAATCATGCAACATTAGAGTTCCTAAACAATCAAATATTAATTACCGTTGTTGTCTCTCCATTCCCCATTAGTAGTGCTTCCAATATCTATTTACTTAAAAGATCTTTTCCATCCACTTCCTTGTGTTTTCCTCCTAATTGCCCTTGGACTCCACTTGTAGGTAAAGACTGGGAAGAGCAGCATAGAACAGATATCAAGAGTTTATGGAAATCAGGTAAATTCATGTGTAGTTTGAATACATATACCACCACTCTTTGTGAGGAAGCGTTGCCTTTATAACACATAAATGCTCTTAAATGGGTGTCTACAGTAGTGGAGGATGAAAGGATGCACATATTCAAATGTCTTATTTAGCTGGATCTTGTCAAATGATTATGATCGACTAGTTGGGAAATGTATCATTTGAGTGGTACTAACAAAACAATTTTTATTGAGTTGCTGGGGTGACACATGTTGCTGGCTTCGTTTCTGTATAGCACCTTACAAACTAAAATTCAGTTTCCAGTTTGTTTCTTTATGCATGTTCATGAACTAAATTAAGTTCACTGGTATTTTATGATCTCCTTGGCATATCTTGCTCTTCTAGCATGTAATTAATCTTATGGTGGCTAGCTTCTTCCATCTTGTACTCAAATTCTCTTTTTTTTCCTCCCTTTGCCCTTCAAAAATTAGTTTTAAATTCTGTACAACTGCAACTGGGAGATGGAAATAGAAGGTTTTCTTGCACTCATCATGTCGTGCATGAGCAGGCTCCGTAAAATCCAGCAGCCAGTAGAATGAGTGATGTAGTAGAATCCATATTGTATTTTTTTAGCTACTATATCTATTTATACTTAGTTTTATTTATTTCATTTACTTAATAGTATGGAAATGCATCCATTTCCTCTGCATTGAACCGATTTATGATACTATCAGAGTGAAACAAGGGATCTAAAGAATGACTGAGGCTAAACTCTATTAGTAACAAGCAAATTCTTTGTATGTAAAAAGTCCTGATATTCTTTGGAGATAAAGGCCAATTGAAAGGGTACCCGGACATAGTAGTGTTAGCTAATATGGTTGTTTTTTCACATCATTTCAATTTTATTGCATCAGTAGAAGAACATCCATGGTGATTGCTGATGTAAAAGTTTGTATTCACGAAGCTGGCTTATATTTAATTGCCAAGCGTGCCTATAGAATGTTATTAGTATTGTTTTTCCTTTCTAGTCACATGACATTAGTTAATACTTGATTGCAGGCAGTTGTTGTAAGTATTGACCCTCGTAGAGTGTATCTCAATGATCCTAGTGATGTGGAGTTCAAGTCTATTAAGTTGACCACCCCAGGCAAGAAGAATTTTCTTGTGCTAATTATTTTTACTGCTTCGAGATCTGCTAATTAAATACATATTTACTGGTTGTTCAGGGTATTCTTTAAATCCATTAGAAGATCCAAAAAGCCTTGCAACTGTTTCAAGTGCTAAACTTGTGGAATGGGTGTGGTAGATCTTGTATAAGAATATTCCCAAGTAAAGATAATATTGATGTTAATAATAACAAGATCCCGAGTCTCACTTGATATGTATCATCATACAGCAAAGTTGTTTAACTGCTATTCATCATTTACCTCTTTCTGTTTTCAAGATCTTAACCATGCTTTTAGCTCTCACTATCCATTTCCTTATGCCTTCTCGATGGGCATAGAGTGTGTATGCATGCATAAGAGAGTTGTGCACTCATATATGTTCTCTGCAACCAGATTGTACGTTGAATGGTTATTACTTACTAGGTTTTCACAATTGTTTCAGGTCCAAATGGAGAAGAATATGCCTGGTATCAATGCACGGTAAGCTTTATTTTTTCTTCATGCAATTATGACTGAACCTTGATTCTGGAATGGTGGTATTTTTCAATTACACTCTGTTTGACTTGGTTTCTAGCCATCAATTCCAGAAAAATGACAAAGCTTTTAAAAGCTCTAGACTGCACTAATGTGCTAGGGTGCTGTTTACATAGATGTCAGGGTGCATACATGTAAAACCAATGTAAAATTTCTGATATTCTACTGCAATAGTACATTTCAACACCAGGAAGGACTAAGAGTTTCATAGAGGAATGCCAATTTTCTCTCTGCACTTACATACGCTTTAATTTCCGGATGTTACTCTCGACATGTTGAAGCTACATTTGAGTTCCTTCATATGCTCAAATAACTCCACGAATTTTAGGAGACTATAAATTAAATATGTTCCTGAATTATCAAATTTGAGTCAGCCGAACAGAATTTTGTCATAACCATCTTCACCCTGGCTTCAGTGCTGGTGATGGGTTGCTTGTGGTAATTGTACTTTGACACGCTACAAATTCCCAGTCCAGGAAAAATTAATTGACCATTTCTCTTGTTTTTTATCATTTGTTAAGATCAATGGTGGGCGAGAAGGTCGACCAATTGGAGCTTATGAACTTGCAAAAGCAGTTGAAGAGCTGGGGGCTGGAGAAATATTACTAAACTGCATTGATTGTGATGGTGAGGATTCTTATTTCTCAACTTTGAACCATTTCTTCAGAAAATATAGCATGAGTGATTTTTTTTTTTTTTTAATCTTCCTAAAAGTGATGGCATTGATTTGTGGTTGTCAATGATTTCAAGACTGTTTCTTTGAAACTATAAAATATAATCTGATGGTTGCAACTTCTTGGTATTTGTTTTTTGCTCTTTCATATTTATGTAGAAAACAGGAATCCATTCTGTCCTTGATCATCTTCAATACCATTTCAACGGGTTCTAGAGGCTTTATTGTTCCCTTCAGTGCACTTGCATTCATATATTGTGTTCGGCGTGCTACAGGATTGATATGTTGTTTCTTTCAAATTTCAAAATTACGAGTGTTGCTTTTCAGGTCAAGGGAAAGGATTTAACAGGATTGATATGTTTCTTTCAAATTTCAAAATTACGATTGTTGCTTTTCAGGTCAAGGGAAAGGATTTGATATAGATCTAGTGAAGATGATCTCCGATGCCGTGAGCATCCCTGTGATTGCAAGTAGTGGTGCAGGTGTTTCTGAACATTTCTCAGATGTATTCTCAAAGACAAATGCATCTGCTGCCCTCGCTGCTGGCATTTTCCACAGGAAAGAGGTAAAGAAAACGTGCTGGTCTTTTATTACTGAATACATTTGACATTTTGAATTGCACCAGCTCTTTCCTTTTATCTTTTCCATGAGATGGCAGATATTGCATTTGATCAACCATTAGAGTTGGAGTTCATATATTATGAAACTTACAACATGAAAATCTCAAATTCTGCTTGCCTTTTGCTTCCATCAAATGGAGCTTTAGGGTTACGTTTAAGAGCTTCAGGCATATTCTAATATGTCATCTTCTTTATTGGTTTAACCGCATTGCAAAATCTCAAACTCTCTGGCTTGCAGGTGCCCGTTCAGTCTGTCAAAGAGCACTTGTTGAAGGAAGGCATAGAAGTCAGGATCTAATTCAATTTTGTGTCATTTTTTTTATGCACTGGTTAAGTCAGCATTGTGGGGTGAATCTCTCTGGTGACTCGTCCAGCCGTCGGAGCAGGACTTCTTTGGGAAAAAAGAAATGTAATTTTTCTCTCCTTTTCTTTTTCCTTCTAGTACTTATCTCGGAAATTTCATGAGGGAAACATAAAAAATAAAATAGAAATGTTTATGTTAAATTGCTTTGGTATTTTCTTCTGCTTGTAGGACACCATGCATCGCATTGAATAAAAAAGTTGGTTTGAAATTTAGGCGGATACAGTTTGTTTTTGTGTTATAAAAATATTTTTTTTAAAAAATAATTTAACTCTTTTTTTTGTTTTTTCAAATTATTTTGATATATTGATATTAAAAATAATGTTTTAAAAATAAATAAATATTATTATTTAAATGTATCTTTAAATAAAAAATATTTTTAAAAGTAACCTTTATAATATTACTAAATTTCCTGTTGCTGTCATGAATTTTGGTTGTTTAAGGTTAGGAATGTGTTTGGGTTCTGGGTATTATCCTAACCTTGCTGGGATGGTTCGAGTGGAATCTTATTCTTATATTTGAGTTTTTTTTTTTTTTTTGTTAATTTTATATGTTTTTTGTTAATTATATATGTGCATATAAGTATTGTTCAAAAAGGGAAGGAAGATAAAGAATAAAAAAGAGGTCATCAGGTTTGTGGGGAAGGGGCATATGATACTTCCATGTGTAGTCCCACCAAAATTCGACACTGTATTATGTGCGAAGAATACATTCATATCACATGATTTCTGGGTAGACATTCTTCACCGAACAAGTATCATATCGCTAATTTTGGTGTAGTCCCGCCAAAATTCGACACCGTATTATGTGCGAATAATACATTCACATCACTTGATTTCTGGGTAGACATTCTTCACCGAACCCGACTTTTGCCTCCAGCGCCGTACTTTTAAGTGTTCTTCGAAAGATATATTTTTCGTAAATTATTTTTATTTTTTAAAATAAAATAAGTGAGCTCTTATGTTTTAAAAAATGAAGGTTGAATATATATATATATAACCTCAAGTATATTGAAAGGGCTTTATTAAAGGAAATTTCCAATGCAGTGGCCACTGGCGTACATGACCTCAGGTTGAATATATATATATATATATATAACCTCAAGTATATTGAGAGGGCTTTATTAAAGGAAATTTCCAATGCAGTGGCCACTGGCGTACATGACCTCAGAATGACAATTTTGATATATTTACGTCAAAACACGTCTCAACTCATAAATTCATTGACCTGAAAATTAATTTAAGTAGGTTTTTCTTCATTAATTTTTTTTTTCATTAAAAAAACTTTAAAAAACAATGTTGTTTCAGGAATTTAAAATAATCATAGTTTAGGTTTGTGTCAATCTTCAGGTTTATTCGCTCAATTGCAGGTCAACTTTCAAGTTAGCCTGGTTCTCAAGATGGATCTTAAAATTGTGCTTGATAATCATCACAGTGTTGATTTGTGAGTGTACTAGATAGGTCTACATCATACACAGGGTTAATAAAATTTCAATGCTGAAAAGAAAATTTAATTTAAGATAATTTTAACTAAAATATAATTTGGGATAAGAGATTAAAAGAATTCATAAAAAAATAAAAAAAATTATAAATTTCAAGGTTTAATAACCTAATGTCAAATATGAAAAAAAAAAATTTCAAGAAATACAACACCAAAGAAAACAACCTAATGATTTGGGAAGACTTAATTGACAAAAATAAAATTTAATAAATAAAGATCGAAAAAACCTTCAGTCAAGTTAATTTTACTAGCCTCTCTCAAAATAACCAAACAATAAAAAGAATAAAAAAATAATAAAACTCAAGGACAAATAATTTAATGAAAATTTATAAAATTAAAAAAAATCATAAAATAATTAAGAAAAAACAATCCAAGTTAACCTCAGTCAACTTAACTAACCCATCACATATGATATGAAATCGCGATAAAAAATTATACTTCAAAAGAAAAGACTTGGCAAAAAAGATCAAAATTAAATAAAAAAACATTGAGTGAGAAAATGCAAGTCAACCTGGGTTAATTTAATTAACCTATACTCAAGATAAACTTGTTCAAAGAAAAGTGAAAAAAATCACTTGGCTCACTGGCTAATAATTTAATATCAAAATTTGAAATTGTTAAAAAAAAATGAACCTATTATCCAGGATATGAAAAATGAGATAATCATGATTAATTTTATTAATTTATTATCTAGGATATGAAATCATAATAACTCAACATAAAAAAAAAGTGCAAAAAACAATGAAACCAAGGACTTAATAACTAAATATCAAATGATAATTTTTTTTTTTAAAAAATCAATTCTCAATTAAGGATTACTTTGTTAGAAAGTAACTATAAAAAATATAACAAACTAAAATATCAAACTATAAAATAATTTAAAACCCAACCAATACAAATCAAACATGGTATAGAAAATAAAAGAAAATAATCATGGGCTAAATTGATAAAAACACTAAGAAAATGATAAATAAAAAATTATTAAAAGAATAGGGACTGTAATTGGATAATAAAATAAAATAAAATATTAAAAAAGTAAAAAAAATCAAGAAAATGATAAGAATACAAGAATAAAAAAGGATGAAAATAAAAAATAAATTTAAACAAGAAAAGTGTAAAGCATAAAAATAAAGGAATTAAAAGTAGAACAACCAAATCAAATAAAAAATTAAATTAAATAAAAAATAAAAAAAAATACAAAAACATTCAAAGTTAAAAAAACTTCAACCATGGCCCAACTAGACCTTCTTTACAAGTACACATAACATCATTAAAAAGAGGACAAAGAGCTTTTTCCAGATTCATGGTGGAACAAGGATTATGGCTACCACAAAATCCTTTACGCACCACTTAAATAATATGAATGTATATGTTAGTAATTTTTTATAATAATATTTTAAAATTTAAAATTTAAAATTACCAGAATATCTATGAAAATACCTCAATGTTAAAACTAGTTGAAATTTGACCAAAATATCCTCATGAATAGCTTTTGTTTCTTTGAATTACAAGGCAGTGCCTTTTTACTATTTTAAAAAATATAAAAATCCACATATATATATATTAAAAAATATTTTTTTTAAATTTATTTTTAACATCATTATATCAAAATAATTTAAAAACAATAAAAAAATTTAAATTTTTAAAATAAAATATTTTAATTCAAAAAGATACTTTTAAAAAACAAAAATAAATGTACTCTTTTATAAAACCAATATTCTTAACACATGAAAATTTCTAAGCCCCCAGGGTAATATCAATATTTATCCCCTTTTTAGAAAAAAATATCCTGTAGTGGTTATTTGTTGCAAGACTGTGTTGGTGCAGTCAATCATTATATATATATTTTTTTAAAATCAGGTTTTACATTGATCCAATCCTAAATTAAATAATAAATTAATATATTATCAAATTAATCTATCAAACCCAACCGGATCAAGTCCTATAACTAATCTCTTTAGGTTTCGTTTAGTAGTAGCGTGGCCAACCACGCAATTGGCTTAGCTACCAAACAGACCCTTAAAAGTTTCCTCCGCTGTCGGCTTTCTAATATAACCACCCCTCAAAAGATTTTTTGAATAACATCATCATCAGCAGGTATTCCTAATTCTTGAGCAGGCAACATATTACGCCGTATCCAAACAGGGAGGTTCAACTCCACGTACGCGTGTCACAATCTAACCTGAGCATCACAGAAGAGGAAGGCACACTTGAGTGACGCACAGGTGCAAAAGGGCATCACAATTACTCCGTCAGTCGCAACTCACAACCAGTCACCAAACCCTAAAAGATTTCATCTCCTCTAACAACAACATTTCTTCTCTCCGTTCAGTATCTTGCTCGCAATGGCTGCTGCTCGTATCAGATCAGGCCTCCCTCTTCTCAACAGGATTTTGAGATCTGATTCTCTATCTACCCAACGATCGGCTATTCAACGCTCCGTCTTGACCCCTGCTTTCGCCGCATCTCAGGTAACAAAATTATCCAATTCAAATACAGAGAGTTTTTCGTAGAAACCAAACGGAGCGTTATTTCGATTTGTTTTTGGAGTTCGATGCCTAATTTTATTTATATTCAATAATATTTCATTTTCTCGGAAACGAAACGAAGCATTATCGGCTTCTGACAGGCGTTATTCTCGAAATTTTTGATCACTCTATACCTAGCAATGATTAATTTACTCGATGCAATGAGGCATCTAAATTTGTTGGGCCATTTTGTTGTTGCAGCCCTCAAAAAATCTCAGCACTTCAACCGCGCAGAAGGAGGAGAAAATCAAGGTAATTGATCTCATTGGCATTTTAGACTTTGGTTTCTCTCATGGTACACATATTTCATGTGATTTTTTGAACCTTATGTTGATTACCATGTAAATATAAGGAGGATTTTTTACTGTTGTTGCTGCATCTTACTGGGCAGTGTTTGAAAATTGTCCTGCGACAATGTTTGCTTAGAAAAAGAAGATTTTTTTTCCTTTTTCTGAATTCATGTTCCCATGGTATCACGAGAAAACGGTCACAGTAATATAGAAATCTAGTAAATGATGTTTTGAAACCTGAGCTGGCTAGATTTCCAGGGCTTCTGAGTAATAAATGTAAATCAGCATGTATTCCTCATTCTGTTAATGCATGGGAATTTTGGGAAGTCTATAAATCTAGTAAATAGAGGTCAAAGCTAAACATATATTGAAGTGCAGAGATAGTCATGCAAAATCAGAAATTAGCTGCATTTATTTGTTTTAATCCTGATTTGGTGGTTTTTTATGGTATTAGTTGCCTATCACTTTATACGGGGGAACTGGAAACTATGCCTCTGCTTTGTTCATAGCGGCCAAAAGGTCTAAGGTGCTGGATCAGGTTGAATCTGAAATTCTTGACCTCATCGAGGCTTCAAAGAAAAGCCCAAAATTTTCTCAGTTCTTGAAGGACTTGTCAGTGCGAGCTGATACTAGAGTCAAAGCCATTAATGAAATTTGTGCTACAGCAAAATTTTCGGAAATAACGAAGAATTTCTTGGGTAAGATAAGCTTCTCTTGTAATTGGTATTTGAAGCATGAGAACTGAATCTTTCTGATCATAGTGAATTTTAAGTTCTTGTGGTAAATATTCAAGCAACATGTAGATTAATGTATTACTGTCTTTCATTGGGCCAGCATAAATTTAGCTTTTGTGTATACGTGCTCAATACTATGAATTAATAGAAATTTCCCTAGCAC